ATGTCTTCATAGAGGAAACTGGGCCTGACCCTCTCACAAGGACACTGAACAAAGGCAGCAAGGAAACGGGCTTGGGTCCAGGTTTTGCTTCTCACTAGCTGTCATCTTAAATCCATCAACTCTCTACCTGACCACCTACCTAATATCACCATAAAAGCAACAACTGAGGGCCTGCTGGGACCTACTGCAGTACCCAGAAATGAGGATAAACATTAGAACACATGTGTCCCTCAATGTGTGTGGGGGGCACCAGTACCCTCCGTGTGCAATGTACATGCCTGTAGAAAAGCCATTGCTAAAATGTCTACTTATGTCAAGTAACCATGTGCTGATTTCATTTATGTAAGTTACAAGCAAGTCTTCAAAATTAATCAGAAAACAAACTACAAAAAATAAGATGTTAGGGGAGAACTAAAATTACGGAAGTATTATCTTTGCTCACTTCCCTTCAGAACATGTAGTAAGCACCCACATAGTAAGGAAAGCAATATCTCCCTTCCAGGCTCCTCAGAGTCTGGGTCCCAAACAACAGGTCTCAGCATGCTCCTTCCAGGCCAGACATGCTCAGAAGTGCAGCCTACTGGTCACCAGAAGCTGTAGCCTACTGGTCTACTAAAAGCTGCAGCCTACTGATCTACCAGGAGTTGCTGAGATGTTGGTCCTGGAATGTTTTTGATTTTTTTGTTTGTTTGGTTGATTATTTTTTTGTTCTGTTTTATTTTGTTCTTTGACATTTCTGGCTCATAGTGCTTATTTGAGGCCTATGTCTTTTTTGAGTTTTACTTTGTTCCATGAGGTCTCAGTTTCATTTTCTTTCGAGAACCCAAGTGTGATGTTGATGGAGGCTCATGAAACTCGGCAGTAAGTGTGTGTTAGGTTAAATAAGAGCTCTGCAAAACACAGTTGAAGAAATGCTTAGATCCTGGCCCAGGATCATATAATGGTCACACTGAGGAATTTTAAATCATGTAAAATTTGCCAGGAAATCTCTGTCTCAGAGATTTCTGTCCCACACCTAGGCCTTGCCTTAAAGATGAACTAGAGAAATCAAAGCTGACTAAGTTGCTGTGAGCCTTTTGGTTGTTATCGTGCTGTGCTATTATGCTATGCTGTTACCCTTCCCTGTTATGAGTAAAGAAGAAAAGAAATCCAGGAATGCCAGCACATGCCTGGAATCCCAGCACCTGGGAACCTGAGGCAGAAGGATTTTGAGTTTGAGGCCAGCCTGGGCTAAATAAAGATTTTCAGGACCAGCCTAGATTACATAGCAAGGCTGTGTATTTTGAAACTTTTTTAAAAAGTAGAAATACAAAAAGAGGAAGAAGAGGAGGAGGAGAAAAGGAGTGGGAGAAAAAAAGAATCTTTCTAACAAAATATATTGCAAGGTTACACTGCAATTTGATGACAGGTAACTATTTGAGAAAAGAAAACTAAAAATGGGCATGATTACAACTAATTTGCCACACAGTAATTCAAGGTCTTCATTGGCTTGTTCTATTTAGTTCTGACTCTTTTAAAATTATACACCCTTGCTTCCTTATAGAATAAAACAAAATGACAAATTAATAACATGCCGATTCTCATAAAGAGGTGGGGTATAAAAAGGACCCAGGTGACTAAAATCAAAAATCAATTTGAGGCAATTAATATTATTACATTTTACTCATTAGTAAGTCATTACTCTCTGGTATATTTATAACCAATGTTTTCCTTTTAAAAAATAAGAAGAAATGGCCAGGTGTGGGAGCACATGTCTGTAATCATAGCACTCTAGGAGACTGAGGCCGGAGGATCCCAAGTTTAACTCTAGCCTCAGCAACTTAGTGACTTAAAGGCTCTCAGTGTGACAGTGCTGGTTTCAATTTCTAGTACTACCAAAAAAATGTAAAAGTTAAAAATTCACAAATAGAATGTGGCCTAATTAATTTTAAGTGTGTTTACTAAGCCGTCATATGAAGCCTAGAGGAATATTTAGAAACACATTGTAGTGCTCACCTTAAGGAATAGCTCTGTAAATTCTATGCTGCAACTACATCATAGAAAACCAATTTTGAGCACTTGCCCTAACATATTAGCCAAGTCCAGGTCAGCCATCCACTGGGAAAAACAGAATTCACCTAAAATGGAGCCCAAGGAGGGACCCAGGCAAGACTAAATCAAGCAAAGAAATCCTATTCTGGCTTAACTTAAGGATTTTAAATCAAATATTGCAAACTTGGAGCCAGGCGTGATGGTGCATGGCTGTAATCCCAGCACTCGGGGAAGCTGAGGGAGGAGGAGCATAACTTCGAACCCAGAGTAGGTGATTTAGCAACTTAGCAAGGCCCTCTGGAGATGTAGCTGAGAGCAAAGGTCCTGGATTTAATCTCTGATACCAAGGAAAACAAACTACCTTGAAAGTTCAGCAGAATAAAGGTTTTTTGCTTTTTTCATTAAGGTCTTTTGTTTTCATGTGTTTTTAAAGAGAATGATCAGTAGGTTCAGAAAAAAGTGAGGCCCCTTACTAAGAGACCCTCAGAAGTTAGCCGATCTCACTGTTTGGAGACCTATTTGTTTCCTTAATGAAAAAATATACTGACAACTGAGCCCCAAGGCAACCCTAAGCACACCTCGTGGAGAAGCTGCCATGTTAGCCCCCCCCCCCCCGCCTTCGCAATCCACACTAACTACTGCCAAGTGGTATCTTGAAAAAAGGTGTTTTTACTTTTCCTAACATTCTCATCCCAGAGAATGGAAATAATTAGGTACATCGAGGGATTTTTCCCTTAAAAAAAAAATGGCAGAGTGGAATGGGCAGAAAACTGTGCAGAATCAATGAAAGCTCTTGTGAGTTGAGCAGAAGCAGCAATAAGCACCAGCACTTACTCTGTGCTTACTTAAGCAAGACTCCATTCTCCATGCTTTCTATAACTTATTCTTGAATCCTCACAAGAACCTTAAGGGTAGGTACTGTGACTGCCCCAGTTTAATCATTGTGACAACAAAGGTACAGAAAGGTGAAGTAACTTGCCTAAGGTCACACAGCAAGAAAGTACAGAGTCAGGATTTGATTCCAAACCTATTGGCTCTAACTTCTGTGTTCTGGATCAACACCCTATACTCATGCAGGCAGCCAGCCACACACTCAGTCCTTCACTACAGTGCAGTCCCCACTGGCGATATAATAATGAACTTCACACAGGTCAGGTGACAGACAACACTGCCATGTGTGAGTGGAACATGGACAGAACATAGACACTCAACCTAGACTGGGGGCGGCAAAGTCTCTCCAGGATGGCTGAAGCCCACACTTAATTGTGGACACGTGGCAGACAACCAGGCAAGAGCAGGGACTGGGGCAACGGTGGGGTGCGGCACTTGCAAAGTTTCGAAGCAGAAGGAATGTGCTTCCATGGTTCCCTTAAGAGACAGAAAGTGCTTTGCGATGGCTGGCATGGCAGTGCCATGGTTACATGGAGTGGGGACCCCCAGCAACACCAAGGGAAGGCCAGAGAAATGAGAAGCAGGAATGACAAACCAAAGAGCTTGTGCCTGGCTCTGAAATGTGGGTTTACCCGAAACTCTGCAATGACCAACTGAAGAATTATACACTAAGAGACAAAATGACCAGATCTTTTTCCTGCCTGCCTCACCAGCTATTTCCAAGGGACTTGATGGAAGAGGACCCAGCATGGAATCAGGAGACAGGGAGCCGAGTTAGAAAGCTGTTACTGCATCTCACAGCTGTCACAGGAGGCCCTCTGCACAAATCGTGAAGCCATTCAGCCCCAGCAATGAGAAATTTCTTCAACCAGACCAGGTCTGGAACCACCCAGCAGCAGGTACCCCAGTTCTTCCCAGGACCTCTAAATGGGTTGTACCGTCAGGGGATTTCCCCATAGATCACTGTACCCTGTCCTAAGGCCTTAAAAATGGTAGGACAGCAGCCTCTCGCTAGTGAAGAAATACACGCCCGTTCCAACCCAAGCTCCTGGCCACCCAGACACTTCTTAAAATTCTAATGGTAATTACTTTGGAAGCATTTTTTTTTCTTTACTTATTAGGATTTGTCTACATTTCAGCCAAGAGACTTGGGCCATAACTGGCTTCTATAAGCCTGCAAGGATTTTGGAAGGATTATGATTCAATGTGTAACGCACATTCTTGACCTTATTATGTCCACTTCCCCGGGTCTAGGCAGAGGTCTTCAGAAAGGGCTTTTTTCTCTTTTTTTTCTTTAACAAAGCTCTTGGTGTGAGAGGCTGCTTGAATGTGTCTGTGTGTTTTTGATGCCTTGTAAAATTGTCTAAGCTCAAAACTTCCTCTGCCACAGGACTCTCCACAAACTCCTGCACAAGACAAACCATTGCTGTCTTCCCGACACAAGTGAGTTCGATCATACTGTCACACAGACAGCTGATGTTCAAGTCACCAGCTTCCAGCATTGCTCCAAAGGAAAGGTTAAAACGTTCGACAAATACGACCGTGTGTCAGTAAGCTTCCACCTTCCTCCCGGACACACATTCCCAGCTGTGAAACTGGAACGCCTTTTTGGAACTGAATGGCTGGCCAGCTCTGGGCCTCGGGAATTTGAGTCCCGGGGATAGTTTTCACATGGAACCTACCTGTCCGCATTTTCTTTTTCTCTTCAAGGATTAGAGCTTCCTGTGGCAAACACCCTTTCAATACCAATAGGGCGCGTCGCTTTTTGTTGTTTCCACTTAATTCATTCCCTAATCACTTCCAGACCCGGAGGGTGAGTTGGGATTTTCAGGACAAAGGACAGTGGAATGCTGATCCCACAGTCGCACCTCTGACTACCCTCGCGCCAAACTCCTGTCCTTCAGAGAATCCCCCAAACGCTCCTGAGATCTCTTGAAACCCTGCCTACCTTCTAGCAGTCAGAAGCACCTGGTGACAGTTCGTGCTGCGTGGGGAGGCACACTCTGCAAGTCCCTCCTGGATCCGAGAAGGCTCAGGGTGGGAAGGGGTGTCCTGAGACTGGAGGCAGGGACATTTACCTTGACGAAGAGGGTGATGTCATGCTCCTGTCCCGGGTCCCCCTCCTGGGCCGCTTCGCCGTCCTCCCCGCCGCCATTTACTGGCGCGGACTCCTCGCCGCCCTGGGCGCTGCCCTCCTCCGCCAGGTGGTTGCTGAGCTGGGGCTGCGGCTCCTCACCCTCACTGGACTCAGCCGCCTGCCCATGGCGGCGGCCGTCGGGGGGCCGCTCCTCGCGCCCCAGTGTGGCTTCCTCGCGGGCCCCCCCGGGGCTCGGCTCCCCCTCCCCTTGCTCCTCCCCGGTCTCCTCCCGGAGCCCCCCCGGGTCACCATTCTCGCCAGCGTCTGCCCTCGCGTCCCCGGGGACCGCGTCCTCCGACTCCTCTGCCCCCGGGGACCCGCTCTCCGCCGCCTCGTCCTCCCCCAAAGCCTCCCTAGGCTCCCCCGGGCTGGGGTCCGCGCTCTCCTCCGCCGGGGGCTCGTTCTCCACCCCGTGCGCCCCTCCCGCCGGCGCCTCAGCTTCCATGCTGTCCCCTGCCGGTCCCTGGGCGTCTAGGCGAAACCCCGGTGGCTCCTCCAGCCCTCGCTCCGCTTCCTCGTGCGCCTCCGGGGCCGCGGGGTCCCCCGGGTCCCCCTGAGCCTCCCCCGAGGCCTCTTCCACCTGCTCGGCGCCGCCCGCCTCCTTCCCTGCCGGGGGCACCGCGGGGCCGTCCTGGGCGCCGTCCTGGGCGCCGTCCTGGGTCTCCTCCCCGCCCTGCGCTCCCCTCGAGCCCTGCGCCTCTGCCCCCGGGTCCCCTCCCTCGCCCGCGCGCCCCGCGTCCCTCCCGCCGCCGCCTTCCTCCTCCACCGCGCGCGTCCCCTCGCCGCTGGGCTCCGCTGCTGCGCCCTCGCCAGCCTCCTGTCCCTCTGCCTCCGATCCCGCTGCCAGAATCGCTGGGTCCTCAGGCGGCCCCTGGGGACCCGGAGCGCCACCCTCGGGCTCCGCGGCCTCAGCCATGGCTCTAGAACCCTGTCCTTTAACGGGGCGCCTTCCTTGACTGCTCAGTGGTGCCGGGGCGAGGGGCGAGGTGCAGGGGCTGCTGCACCTCTTCCGGGAGGGCGCCCCACTCTGGGCTCTGGCGACGAGGTTTCCCGCAGGGAAAAATCTGCTCGGCCCGGGCTTAAGGTGTTTGGGCTCCTCCTCCCTCTCTCGTGCTTCCTGATTCCCACCTCGACCCAGGAATCTTGAGCGTGGGCCCTGGAGGTGCAGCGTCGGGCGGGAGAGGGCTACAGTCCTCCACGTCCTTTGAAGCGTCCACCAGCCAGCCGCTGTCCTAGATTTGACCAGAAGTCCTTGGTGCCAACTCCATGCCCTGGGGCTTGGGCGGGGTTTGTTCCACCTCCTCCCCCAGTGTTTGGGTGGCCTGGAAGCCTGGCCAATGCTCGCCTTTCTGTGGCCCTTGTGGATTTTCAGAGTCTGGTTTTCCTGGCCTCTTGGGCGTTTGGAACAGCTTCAAGTGCCAGAGCCATTTACACACAACCTGGTACTCAAACACCTAATTCCCACCTTAGCCCTGAAGTGAAACATTAAACTCCTCGCTAGGTTGAGCTTTGTGACCAACAGCAAGAGTATAAGTCCTGGGAAAAGGAAGAGGGGAGGGAAGGCTTGTGACCTTCTATTTCTCCAGGACCTTCCTGACTGGCTCCAGAGGTCTGCATGTAGAAGCAAAAGGAGCCAAATGGGCTTTTCTGACCACAAAAGGGTTTTGTGGCGCATGAGGGCCTGCCTCTCTATGCAACAACTACCCTGAGTCCCAACACTGGGAGAAGACTATATCCTTCACCTCCCTGGTCCCTGAAATGCTAAGAGTTGATTATCTGGTGGACTCCCTTAGATTTTCTAAACTCTTGACCAGTACTTTGGTCATGATGTTGTTAAGGAACTGAGAAGCTGGAAGCAGGGGAAGAAAATCCAAGATGTAAAAGAGGGAACTAGAACAATGGAATTCACTCAGCTGGGAAGCTCCCAGAATCACAGACTATGTACCTTCTCCTTCAAAAAGGAGGCTATGCTCTAAAGAACTAACACCAATTCTTCTGAAACTGTTCCATAGGATTTAAAGTGAAGGATCCCTCCAAATTCAGTCTAAGGTTAGCATTACTCTTTTATGAAAGACAAGGACACACACACACACACACACACACACACACACATGCACACACACACAGATGAAAAGTATAGATCAACATCCCTGATGAACACAGATGCAGAAATTCTCAATAAAACCTAAGTCAAAGTCAACAGCACATCAAGATTATTACCCTCAATGAAGCTACTTTCTTTCCAGGGATTCAAGAAGGGTTTGACCTACATAAATCAGTAAATGTAATACATCACACCAAAAGAATGAAAGATTTAAAATATATGATCTTAATAAATACAGAAAAAAGTGTGATAAATTCAACATCCTTTCATGATAAAAGCCCTGAACAAATTACATACAGAAAGATCATATGACAAAGTAATAAAGGTTACATGTGACAAACATCACCAACATCCTACTGAATGGGAAAAAGCTGAAAGCATTTCCTCTAAGATCAGGAATAAAACAAGGATATCCTCTGAGTTCGATCCCCGGTACCCCCCCAAAAAACAAAAAAAAAACCAAGGATATCCACTCTTACCTCTCATTCAATATAGTACTAGAAGTTTCAGCTGAAACATTTAGACTAAAGAAAGAAATAAAAAGGCATACAAATAGGCAGGGAGAAAGTTAAGTTACCATGTTTGGTAATGATATGATTCTATATATTAAAAACCTGAAGAATTCACCAATAGACTATTAAAACTGTTAAATTTGGTAAGGTCGCAAAATACAAAATAACATACAAAAATCAGTAGATCTTTTGTACACCAATAACAAATTTACTGCATGAGAAATTACAAAAGCAATACCATTTACAATAGCTACAAAAAAATAAAATACCTAACAACAAACTTATTCATGGAAGTAAAAGGCAGTGAAAAATTACACAACAGAGATGAAAGAAAGTGAAGAAGACAATAGAATATGGAAAAACATCTCATGTTCATAATAAGAAGAACTAATATTATTAAAATGTCCACACTACCCAAAGCAAACTACACAGCCAATACAATCCCTATTAAAATATCATGACAATCTTTAAAGAACTAGAAAACACAGACACAAAATTCATATGGAAGCACAAAAGACTGTAAATAAACAAAACAATCTTCAGCAAAAAGAACAAAGTTGGAAGCATGGCAGTTTCTGATTTTAAGACATACTTGGAACCGTAGTAACAAAACAACATGGTACAGTATTAGCATAAAAGCAACATGTAGGCCAATGTAACAGAATAGAGATCCCAGAAATAAATCCATACATCTACAGCTGACGGGTTCTTGAAAATTTCATCAAAAACATACACTGGAAGGGCCAGAGATTTAGCTCAGTGGTTCCACCGCCTGCCCTGCAAGCCCAAGGACCCAAGTTCAATCCCCGGTACCCCACCCCCCCAAAAAATACGCTGGAGAAAGGACAACTTCTTCAGTAAGTGATACTGGTAAAACTGGATGTCTATATGCAGAAGATTGAAATTTGACCCCTGTCTCTCACCCTGTGCAAAAATCAACTCAAAAAGTGAATCAAAAATCTGAGTGTAAGATCTAAAACTGAGGAGAAACATTGCAAGATACTGGTGTATTTTAAGATGATTTGTCCAAAAGGATAGAACCCCATAAACACAAGAAACAAAAGCCACTGTTAACAGATGGGATTATGTCAAACTAAAAACTTCTGCACAGCAAAAGAAACCGTCAGTAGAGTGAAGAGACAAACCTACAGAATGGGAGAAAAAATTGTCATCTATTCAGTTGACAGGGTTAATATCTAGAATATATAAAGATCTCCAAAAAAACCTTAACAAAACAACCAAGTAATCAAATAAAAATAGGCAAATGACCTGAATAGACAATTATCGAAAGAAGAAATACAAATGGCTAACAAATATGTGAAAAAATGCTCAATATTATTAACTATCGGGGAAATGCAAATTAAATCACAGTGATATATCATCTAATCCCAATTAGAATGGTTACTATAAAGAATAAATGCTGGCAAGGATATTAAAAAAAGAACTCTTATACACTATTAATAAGAATGTAAATTGGTATGGCCATTATAGAGAATACAGTGGAGGTTCCTCAAAAAACTAAAAACAGATCTACCATATTGATCCAGTTATTCTACTTCTAGGTATATAGCCAAGCAAGATGAAATCAGTACACCAAAGAAATACCTCCACAACCATATTTACTGCAGCACTATTCACAATTTCCAAGATGTATAATCAGCCTAGATGCCCATCAACAGAGAAATAGATAAATAAAATTATATATATATGTATATGAGTACTACTTAGCCATATTTTGTCATTTGCAGCAAAGTGGATGGAACCATAGGGCACCATGTTAAGTGAAGTAAGCCAGACACAGGAAGACACTTGCCACATACACCGTCTCATATGTGGAAGGCCCCAAAAAATGTTGATCTGAAAGTAGAGTGGTGATTACTGGAGACTGGGATGGAGACTACGTGGGAAAAAGGTGGGTGGGTTTGACCAGTGCACACTGTAAATGCATATGGAATTATCACACTGAATCTCATTAATATGGACAGTTGATACATGCAGATAAGATAAATGTATAGAAAGGAAGTTATGCCGAAAATTATGCAGCAAGCCTACTATGATTCAGGCTAGATCTTGTGCATTGTAGTAAGGAACTGGATTACCCAACAGGGTGCCATGTAAATGTGATGGGCAGACTGATTTGACTTGCAAAGCTCTTCATGATTTGTGCTGCCCTGAGACATTTTAGCTCGTCACATCCATAAAGGGTTCTGTTTTTCTTATCAGAGGTGGAAACATCTTGGATGTGCCTTGAAGTGACGCACTGGCCCGTTTACCAGGACAATTCCTTCTAATTCCCATTCCCCATCTCTGGTGTGTGACGGGTGCCGTGGTTTCAATGTGTCCCCTAAAGTTCATGTGTTGGAAACCTAAACCTCAGCTTCGTGTATTGATGGTATTTGGAGATGGGATCTTTGACAGGCAATTGGGGTTGCATGAGGTCATGTGAGTGGATCCCCATGATTGCATTCGTGGCTTTATAAGAAGACAAAGGACCTTAGCACACTCTTCACCCCACTCCCCATCTCTCTCTTGTGACTTTCTCCATGGAATGATGCAGCCAAATGCCCAGACCTTGATATTGGGCTTCCCAGCCCCCAGAACTTTGAGAAATCCATCTCTTTATTAATTCTCCAGCCTGTGACCGTCTATCAGAACAGCACAAAAATGACTAAGGGATGTCCCAGAGACACTGAGCTTCAAGTCACCTTTCTCCAAAGTTGTACTCTCCCTAGGAAGGAAGAGGCCAGAAGCCACATCTTTGAGAAGATGTCACAAAGCAGAAGTTACTCACAGCACGTCATCCACAAGTAAGCTAGATAGACACACCAGGCACAGGTCCTGCTGTGCAGAAGCTCCAGGTACCCAAAGAGCCCTGCTGCATTCACCAGGGCAGGAAAGCTACTGTCACCATCAACTCTCTTTATTAGTCTTTGCTTGCAGCCCATAATGCCTACATTTATCATGGGGAATTAACTGTAGGTGGACTTAATACATACGAATTCTTCTTTTTTAATCCCTTAGCCCTCTCCTCACTCCCAGCTCCCTTGCAACTCTCCCCATTTGCAAAAGCTCTGTTTTCAACATTCTCCCTTTAATTTTCTTCTTTCCATCGCCTTTGGCTCCTCTCCCCACCCTGCGTACATCTCTCGCTCCCCCATCCATTTGAAAAAGATCTCTCTACTTTGTATTTATCTATCTTCTAATTTACTAAATAGATGCCTTATATATATGCTATATATAATCTATAATATATATATAATAAATTAGAAGACAGATATAGAGTTTCTCACATAAGAGAAACCGTGTGATATTTAAGCTTGTGTGTCTGACTTATTTCACATAGTATTATGGGCTCAAGTTGCATCCAGCTACCTATGAATGGCATTGTCTCTTGAGGATCAAGCCAACATACTCAGCCCCAAACAGCAAACAGTACAGTTTTGCAATCCCTTCCGCAAATGCTGCAAGGCCAGACATGTTTCAGAAAGCAGAATCCTAAGATGCTTGAGTGCTCGTAGTGCACATTACCTTACCTGCCATACCACCCCATGATCAAACATTTCTGCAGTGCAATGTCAATTGAAATTCCAACAATATACTTCACAGAACTAGAGAAAAGAATCCAAAAATTCATTTGGAACCATAGGAGACCTAGAATAGC